CCAAATTTATGCCTCCTCCAGTTCGAAATTTCCAACAGATTAACTGTTTGAAACTGCTCTAAACTGCCAGCAGTTACATATATTTAAAATTGCAGCAGTTATCTGTTAAAAACAGTTTGTATCTGTTCAAATTTTGAATTGCACTTGTTCATTCCTTTTATATTTGTTCAGACAGTTCTGAACAATTACCATTTGTCCTATAAATAGAAGACTTTCTAGCAGGTTTTTCACAATCACAAACATCCAGAAAAATCTAAAATTCTCTTGGTTCCCTCACTGTTTTGCTCCTTTGCATAAATTCTTTTCATACTAGTTTTTAGGAAAAAATTAAGAGAGTATAGAACACAGGTTTAATTCGCCGTACAAATTGTTTGGAGCGCTACTACAATTTGTGAAGATCATTGCATTCTGAGAGATAGACGCCTTTTATCCATAAGCACCGTAGTGAGGTGAATCTGTCTTAAGGATAGAGTGTCACACACTCGACTTGATATTTTAAATATTTATTCATTTCGGTAAAATAAAATTCTGTAAGTAATTTATTTTTATTTGTTTGATTTGTTTTAAGTTATTTATTTTATACAGAAAATTGTTCCAACAATGACTTTGCCCAAAAAAAATGTGTGTGTGTGAGAGAGAGAGAGAGAGAGAGAGAGAATGGAAATTCTCCTTTTTTTTTTTTTTTGTGTGTGTGTGTGTATTCTATAATTCTGCTGATCAATTTTCAGCTGGACAGTAGCATAAAATTGGATTGAAAGACTGAGGCTAGTATGCCTTGGAAAATTATTCAGTACTTTAGAAGTAACCATTATAGCATGCACATCATGAGACCGCACGAAAGAGATGGATGGAGCTAATTTTATCTCTCAATCAATCAAGGTTAAGTCACGAGTGATTCATTCTTGAATAAAGGAGTGGGATTCAATTAAATTACTCTCAAATGAAATAATTGTATATTTCATTCAAACTTTCTAATTCAGTGATTCATTCTTGGATAAAGGAGTGGGATTCAATTAAATTACTCTCAAATAAAATAATTGTATATTTGATTCAAACTTTCTAATTCAAAGATTGTTTTATCCCATGAGTAGAGGGGATAACTTATTTGAGATGACAGTTTTGTTCTAAAATTTACAAAATCTTCTTTCAAGTAACTTTTCTCTAGATAGTAATTTTTGAATAATTTATTCTGCCTAATTTAACCCGAATAAAAAATAACTTTATTAATTTAAGAACATCTTAAGTCAACATGTTGAATTGGTGTTTGTGATGCCCATTGGGATCATGACGTCTTGTCCTAGGTTACAGATCGTTTAAGTTCTCTGACAAGTGGTGACAGATCATTTGATCCCATTGTTCATATTAAAAAACATGTATATGTTCATGACATTCATGCATGGTTTCATGGATTGCATGTCTTATTTAGAATTTTGAAATACAGTTATACTATAATGATATGATAATAACTTTTTTTTAGGTAAATTACACTTTGCTCTCTTAATATTTGATCACTTTCTCATTTTAATCTCTATAATTTATTTTTTCTCACATATTTCAAATTTTTCTTACTTTACTCATAAAGTTAATTTTTATTCAAAATTAAACATAAAATGCCATAATAACTGTCACGTAACATAAAAAATATATTATTATATTAGAATTTAAATTTATGTCAGAAATGTGAGTTATATGTAATAAAATATTTATGTCACGTGAGTGTCAATGTGTCGTTTTCTATTTAATTTTGAACATAAATTAGCTTTAAAAGTAAAGTGAGAAAAACTTTAAACATGAGGAGGAAAGTGAGAAAAAACAAATTTCAAGAATCAAAGTGAAAAAAAAGCCAAATGTAAAGGGCCAAAGTGTAATTTACCCTTGTTTTTTTTCATAGAAATCACATTGATAGACTTCTATTTTTAACACGATGATGAAAAATTCAAGACTGCCATATTATTTTGCATAAAAATTATGTATAAAATTTCTATATAAAAAATTATGTATAATTTTTGTTTGCAGAAAGTAGATGTTGAGTTATTTTTAAACAGGTGATGTGTTTCTCCATGTGCACATTTTTTAACAAGAGACAAAAATAAATAAAAGAAAAAATAATCAATAAAATTTTCCCTAGCATCTAAAAAAAAAAAAAAAACCAAGAAACAAAAAATGAATAAATAAAAAGAGACTTCGTAAGTAGAAATCCCTAGTTTGAGTCATTTTCATCCTCTGCGAGGTCCTAAATTTGAGTCGTTTTGTTTGGGACCATTCCTCTCACATGTAATTTGTGGATAGAATTAAACATAATGACTTATTTTGAAATGATATTTTGCATTGGATTCGTCTACTAAAGATCTTTGTGCTATAATTTTATTATGATAATCTGTAGTCTAGGACTAAAATTGAATAAAAATGATGTTACTTTATGATGTATGGTTTAGAAAAAATGCAATATTTTATTTCAAAATCAAATCTTTTCATTATATATTTTACTGATGTCTCACAGCAAAATCACAGTAGAAAAACCATTATAGAAATACTCACCGGGTTTTTTTTTTTTTTTGCAATACAAATCTCATCCCAAGAAAAGATGTCTCACTTTTTTCCAAGACAATATTGCACATGAAAGATAAAAGAGCGTTTGAGATAGTTACCGTGGATCACAAATTCTAAATTTGTTGGTTGTCATTCTTCATAGATGGCTTCTTAACGACTTTGCATGTAATTTATCAACAAACTCAATTTTAGGACAAATTACGTTATAAAGAATGTCTTTAAATACACCTCAAGCCTTCAAAATTATTATTTTTTTATTTCTATGTTAACAATAAGAATCAATTTCATTCTTAATTTACTCTAAAATCATATTAATCCGATCCATAAACATCCTCCGCCATGTAACCTAGTTCCATAGAGTTTGGATGACAAATGGGGTATTGAAAGACCTTAGAACATCTCCAATGGAGCTGTTATATCACTTGTCAAAGCTAAAAAATGACGGGAATGGCAAAAAGTTGTCTCCAACGGTCCACTATTTCACTTCTCAAAGATGGCAGATGCCATATGTGTTCTCAAATTTGATAAGTGAAATAGCAAATGCCAAGCTTGCTAGATCAGCAAAAATCAACTGGAATTTGGCACCAAATTCAGTTGAAAACAACAGAATTAATTCAGTAGGGAACCCATTTTTCAAAATCAAACCCAGTTTTCAGAATCAAGCAAATTTCAGAATGAAATTGACAAACCCAGATTCGGTTTCTCAATTATTATTATTATTTTTAATTCATTTATCACCAAATCTGTCAACCCAAATCAGATGGTATGCATTCACAATAAACTACATGAAATCAGATAATCCAGCATCACAATAAAATGATCGGAAGTCTAAAAATTTGCAGAATGAAGATTGAGAGGGAGACAGATATCAAAACATATATATAGGGAGATACCAGATTTGATGGATGAATAAAAAAAATTGATGAAGACAGATATCAAAAATTGATGGATGAACAAAAATTGATCAAAAATAATAATTAAGAAAATTTGAAAAAAAAAATACCAGATTTAAATCTTTTGAAGATCTGGTTTAAATCCATCGGCAGCTTTGAGTTTCAAAAATCACGATCACCTCAGATCCACATCAACAACCAAAAAAATAAAGCAAAAATCAACACATGAAGACTGAGAGGGAGACAGATCAAAACATATATATATATATATATATATGTATAAGGATGGAGATCGTACTAGAGACAGAGAGTACACAGATCGGAGGTGAAGATTGAGAGGGAGACAGATCGGAGCTTGATAGGTAGAGAGAGAGAGACGTTTCGATCATGGAGGAGGAGAAGGGACTGGTTTGAGGAGAGGGAGGGAAGACAGAGAGAGGGAGAGGAAGAGTGAAACAAGAGAGAGGGAGAAGACAGATTGAGAGAGTGAGGGGGAGACAGAGTGAGAGACTAAGAAGGATATCGAGTGAGAGAGTAAGAGAGTAAGAGAGGGGTTTTGATCATGGAGGAGAAGGGGGAGAAGGGGTTTCGATCATGGAGGAGAAGCGGGAGTGGTTTGAGAAGAAGGAGATAGAGTGAGAGAGTGAAAGAGAGAGAGAGTGAGAGAGAGGTTTCGACCATGGAGAAGAAGGAAGAGTGGTTTGTGCTCTGTTTGGTTTCGACCATGGAGGAGAAGACAGAGTGAGAGGGAGAGGAAGATAGTGGATCATTCTAGATGTATGGAGGCAGACGGTGATGCCTCAGTGTAATAAAGAGCTGTTGGGCTCTGTTTGGTTTGTTTAACAAAAAAAAAAAAAAAAATTATTTTTTACAACAGCTCTTTCAAACGGTTATTTCCCAAACGGTAATATTTTTAATTTCTATAAATTGAAACCCTCCATGTCACTTTTATTTCACACAAACATTTACATTTACATTTAATTTTTCTTTTCTTCTCTCTTCTTTGAACCTGATTTCACAGCAAACCTCTTAAATTATTTTTTTTTAGTTTTTTTATCCAATCACTATGGAAGGTTCATCAAAAATAAAGAGAGGAAAATCATTCACCATTGAAGAAGATATGGCAATTTGTAAATCTTGGTGTCACATTTCGAAAGACCCAATTGTTAGCAATTCGCAATTGTATGCTCACTTTTGGGATTAGACCCAATTTGTAATTAGTTGAGTATTTCATAGATTTGGGGCACCTTTGTTGGATTAGATAAACATTCAGATGATGTTTCATTTCTATGTATGTCTACTCTCAGTTATCTTGAATTATGCATCCTATTCATTGATTGAATATGATGGTGATTAACTTGAGTCCTCAGGATATCCAAATGGTAATATTTTTGGATGAAATACTCAACTAATCTGTATTTATCATCGTAAGCTTGCAGTATTATTTTCAGTGTCTTTCTTCTGTCTTACATTTTTATTGAGCAGTCAATTCTATTATTCTTGTAGACCAGTTTTCATGATATATTTGTGTTACTGATTTATATTTCGTGGATGGGCAGTTTTTGGGATTATGGCTTGTATGGAGGCTAGTGGTCTTAATTCTTTGATCGTGCTCAGTGATTACAGAACACTGCACTGTCCAGGTTCTGAAAATAGCCAACTAATCTTGCACCATACACTTGTAACCTTCTTGGGATGACTATTCATTGTGACAGAACTTTCTTTAAGCACATTTGAATTTGATCATTCGTAATTACATTGATATTCTTCAATATTCTTTCCTCTAGTTTACTAAACCCTTCTCAGCTTGCCTCGGTGTTTTTCTGTTTCTCGTTCCTTCTTTGGCCCTTTCAAAACTCACCCTTAAATCTTCTGTTTTTCGTTCCTTCTTTTGCCCTTTCAAAACTCACCCTTAAAATCTTCACTTCATATGTCGTATGTTCAACTGCCTCTAACCAAAGACATGTACATATTTAAATTCTCGCTTGATATGTCCTGATGTAATAGGAGCCATCATATTTGGATGACGAACATACAGAACTATCATTTTTTTTTTTTTTGGTTGATAAAAAAAAAATTTTTAAAAAAAATAAAAAAATAAAAAAAACAATTTTGTTTTTTTTTTTACCAAACCCAAGCCATGTTAAATCAGATTTTGACTTATTTACGAAACCCAAGTCATTTTTTAAGTCGTGTTTTCAAAACATGATTTTAGACCAAATTAGAGATTGAAATCGTGTATTCATATACCACTTCAGTGAAGTGGTGATATTCAGAAAACTATATTTTGTATTGGCTTTTCCTTATAGGGGTGATGGATGGATAGTATTATGGAGCCAATTGAGAGTCTTTTACATATTTATTATATTTATTGGGCAAACTATACTGGAAAACTTAGTAAATGGATAATGTAAAATTTTAGTAATTCGTAAATGAAATTTTAATACAAGGAACCCAGAGAAAGAGAGTTTTGAGAGAGAAAATGAAGCTATCACTTTCAGAGCTGTTGATTTCCCTGCTGCTTTGGTTTCATTCATGATGTAATTCCCATTACAAGACAAGAAAGCAGACACTTTTTTATGAGAGAATTGGAGTTGCTGATTTCATCGTGATAATAGTGGGTTAGTTGGCTGTTACATATATATACATATAATATTGTTTATGCTTGTATTTAGGGAGAGGAAGAGAGTGAGTAATGGTGGTGGCGCTTTTGCATAGAGAGGTTGGTGTAATCATATTTTATGTCAACTTGGTTCAAAAAAGAGAGACCAAATTGAGAATCTTCTTGCATAGTGTTGGAGACTGAAGCTGTGGCTTCATTGCGCTCCATTGAAGTCATGAGATAAACCTGTTAATGTAAATTGTAAATAATAAATCACCACTCCACCTACCACCTACACCTACTACCACATTTTCTTATATATATATGATCATTGTAAACATCAATATACACAACAATCTTGTAATCAATACAATCAATCAATAATATCAATAGATACATTTATTCTGTATTTCTCTCTTCATACATTGAATTTATCATGGTATCAGAGCGGGTTTAGACTCGAATAATTCTGCTTCATCGGCGGGCGGCAGCCTCGCCTTGGCCGCCCGCCGGACCTCTACACCTATCTTCAGTTTCCTGCATCTTCCAACTCTCTTCCCTCTGACCCGCCGTGCTCAGACATCTGGTTACCTTCACAGGCCAGAGGCCATGACCACTTCCAGGCAAGTTTCCAAGATCGACCCGACCACCCCGGGTCGGACCTCGCCGGCGAGACCACCGCCGCTATGGCAGCCGCTTCTGTTGTCTTCCGCCAGCCACCACAACCCCTCCTTTCTCCGCCGAATCGGTTACTTCAATCCCAATGGCCGCAGAGAAAGTTCATCACGCAGTCCATCCTGTTTTAGTACCGGTACAGATTGAGAATCCACTGAACCCTTGGACAAATGGATCATCTACATCGTGAGTCGGCCCTACTCATCCGTCCAATTCCGGTTCTTCCCATCTCCAATGCAACGACAATGGTGGATCTTAACTTACATCAGAAATCCATGAAAGATCCCGTGCCCCTGTCTCTCAATCTGTCACTATCGTCCGATCTTCCTCATGTCCGGTCTCGACCCGTACAGCTTGTTCCGGAACAGCTTCAGACGGGTCCAGTTCTTGAGTTCAACAAACACTCCTCCAACTCGGCCTGCACCTGGGTCGGCATCCAATGCGACTCAAATCTCTCCTTCGTCTACTCCCTCCGCCTCCCCGGCGTCGGCCTTGTGGTCAGATTCCGGCCAACACCAGCGGAAACCTAACCCAACTCCGGATCCTCAACCTGTTCTCCGGCGAGTTTCCCCCGAGTATCCCCCAGTTAGATCGCTTGACTCGGTTAGATATCTCCAGCAACAACTTCACAGGTTCAACCCCCTTCGCCGTGAACCCTCTGACCCACTTGACGAGACTTTACTTGCAGAACAATGGGTTTTCAGGTAGCCTCCCCAGCATCAGTCAATCAAGCATAGTAGATTTCAATGTCTCCAACAACCACCTCAACGGTTCAATCCCTACGAGTCTATCGTCTATCCAGATTCCCGGCCTCATCATTCGCCGGAAACATCGATCTCTGCGGCGTACCTCTTCCCCCTTGCAACCCATTATCGTCGGATGAGCCATCAAAAGGATCAGGCGGTCACACGCCTCCACCAGAGTCCAGGACCCCACCTTAGCCACTTTTCTAAAATTACACAGCACACACATTGATAGCTTTTCTCTCTCTCTCTCTCTACCCATGTGACCCACTCCACAAAAGTATCTCTTTTGCAGGGCACTACCCCAACCTGCACTCTTTTTTTAACTCTATCATTATTTCCTTTTCTTTTATTTTTAATTCCATCATCATATTTTATCATCATCATTATGTTTCCACTACTCGTATCCTTTTCTCTCCACCACCATTCTTTTCTTTATCACACCTCTCTTTATATCTTTTATATGCAACTCTCACCAGCACATATGGTTTCTACCTTAATATATTATTATTATTATTATTATTATTATTATTATTATTATTATTAAAAAAAAAACAAAAACATCTCCAAACACCATTGCTGTTTTTCACATATCCGTGTGATAACGATTTGCACACCAAACCTTACCTTATTTTATTCTTCTCAGGGATCAACCCCGATCACAATAAAACAACACCAACAAACAACAAAACAAACCACCACATCCACAGATGGGATTTTTCTTCTCTACTCTGTCGCCGGTCTCTTCCTTTTGCCTCCGTCCTGGACGGCCCTTGACGGTGCTGCCTCCGTGTCACCCACTCCATTGGGCATGATCACTACTCCTTGCTCCTCCACTGCAGCATATGGCGGCCCTCCAAATCGGAACATCACGGTGGCCTTCCGCTTCATCTCCTTGTTTTCTGCCCTTAGCACGCTTATCTCTGCTCGCGCATCCTTATACATGCGTTGGAGCAGAGCCAGCTGGGAGTTTAACTGCTGCACCTCATTTGCCCTACTCTGCAGCCGGTTCGACAAGTTTGTGACCGCCGTCATGCTTTCCACACATGCCTTCAACGTATACTGATTGGCCTCCACATCCGACAGCACTGCCATTCTTTGCTCCACAGACCGCATCGGAAAGTTCAACGGAGCAAACTCCGGGGCACTTGGTTGAGGTTCCAGTGCCACCGCTCCAGTAATCTCTCTTGTTGACTCGTTGAGGTCGGGAAAGAGGGTGAGCAGACCGCGGGAAGACGAAGCCATTTTCTGGGCAACCAAGTGTTACAGACTATTTTCTGGGCAACAGAGTATTACAGACTATCTCTCCCCGCAAACGGAACTATCTTTCTCAGCAACACGAAGGATTTTTCAGAGGTTTCTCTCAGTTTTTCTCTGCCTCAGCCTCTGCCTTCGTCTTGGTTAAATAGCCGAGGCAGCCACGCGCATCGCGCGCCTCTTGACGCCCGACAAACTGGCACGCCTTTTCATGGCACATCCTTTGATAAAGTGGGCGCGCCTTTTGAGGGCGCGACTTTTGAGGGCTCACTATATATATCCATATATATCTATATTTGGGCAGCCTATATACACCATCATACAGTGTATTTTTTATGGGTCCGACAAGACTCTGTAAACTGTCCCGACATTGATTCCGGTTAGCTCCTTAATGGGTCCGACAAGACTCTGTAAACTGTCCCGACATAGATTCCGGTTAGCTCCTTTATGGGTCCGACAAGACTCTGTAAACTGTCCCGACATTGATTCCGGTTAGCTCCTTAATGGGTCCGACAAGACTCTGTAAACTGTCCCGACATAGATTCCGGTTAGCTCCTTTATGGGTCCGACAAGACTCTGTAAACTGGCCCGACATTGATTCCGGTTAGCATTTGTGAAGATGAGCAAGCAATTGGCATAGCAGATGGTGTTGGTGGCTGGGCAGATGTTGGTATTAATGCAGGGCATTTTGCCCGTGAACTCATGTCTAATTCAGTAGCTGCAATTCAAGATGAACCGAAGGGTTCCATTGACCCAGCTGGGGTGTTGGAGAAAGCTCACTCAATCACAAAAGCCGAGGGTTCCTCAACAGCTTGCATCATAGCCCTTACAAATCAGTATCTTCACACCTATTTGAGTTTGAGGGGGGGTTATACACAGTATCATGTATAAGTCGCTCATGGCGCACTGTGCACCACCACAACTTCTGCTACAACGGTCCGACATGACCCCGTAAACTGTCTGCTACAACGGTCCGACACGACCATACAGTGTCTCTTATCCCATTTTTAATTGTCAGCCTATTTTTCTGTTTTGTTACTCTCTCCAAACTCAAGTTGGCTAGTACCTATCCTCCTTGAGTTTGAGGGGGGCTGTTAATGTAAATTGTAAATAATAAATCACCACTCCACCTACCACCTACACCTACTACCACATTTTCTTATATATATATGATCATTGTAAACATCAATATACACAACAATCTTGTAATCAATACAATCAATCAATAATATCAATAGATACATTTATTCTGTATTTCTCTCTTCATACATTGAATTTATCACCATGACTTGGTTCGAAGTCGTGTTTTTCACACAGAGCTTCAAGTTCAAAGTGGTGTTTTCAAAACATGAATTCAAAAAGTACTTGAATTTGGGATCACAAACACGTAAGATGTTGCTACACTCGGCTAGAATCTTATGATAGGCACATGGATCCATAGCTTGACATTAAAATGTATCTAAATGGATGTAGCTCGTCCTCGGAAGTGTCCGTTCTACCTGAAGTTTGCTTGCCTTCTTTACTCTAGATTAATTTGCCTCACATTGTTCTTATATATTTGGATTGACAAACTACTGGTTTTGCTTGAAGAAACAATGGCAAGCCAGACTAAAAAAGTCATGTTTTCACTATTACATATTTGTTCTGACATCATTTTTGTTTATTCATATAGGAGGATATGAGAAGATGGAGAAATGATCAAGTTGTGATATAAAACTGCAGTCTTTGCACTTTATCAATCTTGTTGTCAGCTACTACTTAGCAGCAAATTGACGCATAGCCAAGTGCCATTCACAAGAAGCAAAAAATAAGAAAAGAGATTTGTTTGGTAATTTGCAGTGATTAATGTCAATGTTAATGCAAATTTGGTTGTAGTGCAAGTATGTTTATTGCCACAGACTGATTTAGTTTTAACCATTCATGTGATTCTTTTTATGATATAGTGATCAATTAAATGCTGGTATGGAATCTTTATGACTGAGATGGAATATTTCATGTTGACGTATTATGTTTGCCTTGTTGGTATCATGATTGTTGGAAAATTATGATTTTTATAGGCTTATTTTGGACAAATTTTGAGCCCAAAATTGAGTGGGTCCCACACATCTTTTGGGGTGGGTCCAAAGAAGTGACGTGTTTCTTACCGCATGGTAAGTCACACTACAACAAAAAACAGAAATGGCGACCAAAATAGGAAATTTCGTCGCTGAAAGTGCATGAAATGGCGACTAAATTGGAATTTGTCGCCGAAAAGCAGGTTTTTAGCGACTAAAAGGGTTAAGTCGCCGAACAGCATGTTTTTAGCGACTAAAAGGAAGTTTTGTCGCCTAATATACGGTTTTCAGCGACTAAAGTTTGTTTAGTAGCCAAAAGTCACGGTTTTTAGCGACTAAAATAATTTAGTAGCGAAAAGGTATGGTTTTGGCGACTAAAAACAGGTTTAGTCGTTGATTATAGCAGTTTTGCCGACTAAAAACAATTTAGTCTCTGAAAGTGGGGGTTTTGCCGACGAAAATCCATTTTAGTAGCCCAAAGTAGTGGTTTTGGCGACGAAATTTCTGTTTAGTCGCCAAAAGTGCTGATTTCTAATTGAGAACTTGTTTTTTTAGCGACAAATAAATAATTAGTAGCCCAAAATAATATAATTAGCGACTAAAAAATGGTTTTAGTCGCCAAAAGTCGCCTAATTTTTTTTTTAGTAAATAATTTATTTTTTGACAAAAATTATATTGAATTAAAAAAATTATATTTATAAATATTATTTTGTATTAATTGCGGTTAATATAGTATATAAATAATATATATTGTATATATGATCATGTGATGATGTACTGGCATAGTGGAGGGAGTGTTGTGCAAAGGGTTTGGCGTGTGCAAAGGACGTCGCAAGTTCGAAACTTGTTGGCAGCAGCGAAGGCAAAAAATTTTTTTTCCTTAAAATACTTTCAGCGACTAAAGTGAATGGTCGCCAAAGGTATAAATAATAAAATAAAAATGAACTATTGGCGACTAACAGTTTAGTCGGCAAAGGTATAATTTCCAATAAAGAAATTGACTATTGGCGACGAAATCTTTAGTCGCTGAAGACATATATATTGGCGACTAACAGTGTTTTAGTCGCCAAAGGCATTCGCGACCATTTATTGGCGACAACACGGGCGACTAAACTTTTTAGTCGGGAAAAGTGAAATTTTGACATTTGGCGACTAAAATAGGACCTTTGGCGACTAAAAATTTAGTCGCCAAAGGTGTTTTTTCTTGTAGTGTCACATGGTGAAGATGGCTCGTCAAAACCCTTCATGAATGAATGGTAAGTTGACATCGTTTTTGGGTTCGTGGAATGGACAATTAAAGAATTAAATGTGAGTTTCCTTATAAGGTTTGTCCCACATTAGAAATTTAAGAGAACTTATGTGTGTATATAAGTTTTACGTGTCAACACTTGGGTTGGGCTCTAAGGGGCACCCCAAGTTTGTAGAAGGGAGGAGTTATGAACAAAGTGAACATTGGCTCAAACCACCACACGCGCCCCGCCGCCAGTCGGTCGGCCAAGCCGTGCCGGGTGTGAGTGTGGGTCAGGTGAGTTCTAACTTTAATTTTTGGATAAAATTTATTTTGAATTTTTCCAAAAAAAAATTCTTGCAGGAAAATTAATTTTTCTGAGTGAAATTAATTTAAATTTTGTGCCAAATTTGAATTCAAATTTTCTGTCCAAATGTGTGCCTCCTCCAGTCTGAAATTTCCAACAGATTAACTGCTTTAAACTGCCAGTAGTTACACAGATTTAAAACTGCAGCAGTTATCTGTTTAAAACAGTTTGTATTTGTTCAACTTTTGAACTGCACTTGCTTATTTCTTTCATATTTGTTCGGACAGATCTGAACAGTCACCATTTGTCCTATAAATAGAAGACTTTCCAGCAGGTTTTTCACAATCACAAACATCCAGAAAAATCTAAAATTCTCTTGGTTCCCTCCCTATTTTGATCCTTTGCTTAAATTCTCTTCATATTAGTTTTTAGGAAAAAAATTAAGAGAGTATAGAACACGTGTTTGATATCCAAGCAAAAGGAAAGTGGGTGGACGAATTGTCCAACGTACTTTGGGCATATCGGACTACGCCGAGAAGATCAACAGGAGAATCCCCATTCGCCATGGCATATGGCACAGAAGCAGTCATCCCATTGGAGATCGGCATCCCAGGGATCAGAACCCAGGGAGTAGAGAATGGCACCAATGACATACTCTTAGCCCGAGACCTGGATTTATTGGAAGAACGAAGAGAGAAGGCTGCAATTCAGCTCGCAGTATACCAGCAACAGCTTGCCAGAGCTTACAACAAAAAGGTTAATCCAAGGGATTTTCAAGTCGGCGACTTAGTCCTAAGAAAAGTCGTCGGGAACAAGAAGGATCCCAGGGAAGGCAACGAACTAGATAGAAAGCAAAACCAACATTGCCATTGAAAACAATAATTATGTACAAAACCCAGTTCTATAATCAGAACCAGCAAGAATGTATATATATGTATTATTATATGCAATAGGGGGTCAAATTTGGATATGAACCATCAAAATGCAAGAAAAACCCACATGTAATCCATTGCCAATCATGCGATTAACGGCATTGTTGCCACCTCCACCTACTCCGACGACCTTGATCTTGGCCACGTCCATTGGAGTAAACGAGCTACTACAAGTACAGTAACGCTTCGAGGGACTTCGACGACGAGCCTGGAAGGAGAAACATGTTTTTGAGACGAATGGAGAGAAGGTTTTGTGGTTAAATCCACTGAAAATTGAGGAGGAAGAAGAAGAACACATTATTAACTCAGCTGGGTTTGTGAGTTGAAAGGTAGCCATTTGTGCCACTGTTTGGTTTCCAAGAAAATGAGGACAGAGAGTGGGAATGAGAATTTGTTTTCTCTACTGAGAGACCGATAGAGAGAGAGAGAGAGAGAGAGAGTAATCGGAGGTCTAGGGTTTCGAATTTGACGGCTTCGAAAATTTTTCCGCAAAAACGTTAAAAGGTCTCGCGTGGGCCAAATTCATTTTCTCAGGGGTTTTTTTACACTGACAATTTCTGACATTTGATTCAATTACATTTCTGACGTTTTAAAAATTACCGTCTTGTTTGGTTTGTATTTGAGAAACATGTTTTGACATAAAAAGTACGAAAATTTGTTTGGATTGATTTTTTTTCAAAAGATGTTTTGAAAAATTATTTTGAGAGAGAATTTTGAAAAAAGTGATTGATTTTATGTGTATGAGAGAGAGATTTGTTTGGAAAATTTGTAAACCAAACAAGTTTTCC